TATATATATAAACACTAATAATAGTATGTTATGCATCGATAGCAGCAACAGCTTTTCCAGGTTCTGCAGTCATCTGAACAAAATTATAGACATTCAGCACATTCCATTAAAAATAAATAAATAAATAAAATAAACCAAAGAAAAGAATAATATCCAGACAACAGCAAAGTTCTGTTGCTGCTGTGGTACCTGGCACCATTTTTTCTACTAGCCTCTTAATCATCATCTGGAAAGAGAACATTCTAGAGTAATATCATTAAATGTAGCTCTGATAAAGCACGGTCCCTACTATGTATCATAAAGCAGGTACTAGATATTTTACATTCATAGAGGTAGGATACAGTACTGTCCTACATCAATAATACTAGATTCAGTTTTGGTTTGAAATTTACTTTGTCTGCAAATAAGATTGCTACCCCTGTTTTTTTCTGGGCTACTGTCACATGGAGAATTGTTTTCTATCTTTTCACTTTCAGTCTAATTCATGAATAATTTTTAAAGATGAAGTTTGTTTTAAAAAGTGGTTTGCATTTAACAAAACAGTTTCCACTTATGAGACCTACAAATGTAAAATATTTCCTGGCCTCTTGTGTAAAAAATCTACCACAAGAGTTATTTATACCCAGGCTGACACAAAATAAAACTAATTTTCCCATAAGAATTGAGTTTGAATATTTCATGTTCTCATGCTAAAGAAAAGGGAAAGATTAAACATGTCTCTTTTCAAAACAATTTTCAGTGAATAAAAATAACAGGCCGGGTGTGATAGCACGCGCCTGTAATCCCAGCACTTGGGAGGCTGAGGCAGGAGGATCACTGTGAGTTTGAGACCAGCCTGGGCTACATAGTGAGTTCCAGGTTAGTCCCAACTACACAGTGAGACCCCATGTCAACAACCCCCCAAAATAAAATAAAAATAACACATGGAAATAACATGGAAGTCAAACATTATACACACAAAATCATATCATACCTCTTATCAGCAAGATCTGTTTTATTTCCTACTAGCATGATGATAACATCACTTCCTCTTTCTGTTCTGACATCATCAATCCATTTTGTAGTTTGCTGGAATGAGTTAACATCTGGTATGGAAGGGTGGACAGAGATCAGCATTACTGAAAATGTCTCCTAAGCAAAGGACACCACTCCCCGCAAATACCCTGAAGTTGGAAAGAGGATGGCACATTCGGAACCCACTTTTAATGTGCCTGCAACATAACTCCATTTTATCTGATTACGACTGTCAGTGATCTAAATAAATCTGAAGAATAAAATCCTCAAAGTTCCTTTTAAAGAACAGTATTTAAATTTTTTGACAATAATCAAATGAGTACAATGTACTTACACAATTGGAAAAAATAAACTATTTAAAAATACAAGGACAGCTATGACAGATAATTTGGTGTTACATTGCCACAATGCTTTTAATCACTTACACATACCAAACATGACAAAGAAAGCATTTCCAAAAGTATGTCAGCCAGTAAGTCCCAACACATCCAGAAAATTTGTAGTCTTTAAATAGCTTTCAACACAATTGTGTTTGCATTGCTTACTCAGTTTGTGATCACTTTAACCTAAAGTTTATTGGTTTAATGCACCAGAATCACTTCTAAGAAAATTCAACTTTTCTAGTGTTGGATTCTAGATAGACTACTTCAATATTTTTTACAACAGTGAAGAAAGTAATTTACTAATATTTTAACATATTTGTAGAATTTTTAAAGAAAAACACAAAGTTTCTTTTGCTTTGGTTAAAGCAAGCACAAACATTTTAAAGCTACAAAACTGGTCAATGCATAAAGAGCATACATGTTTTTTTAAACAAGTAGCAACCCAAAAGTAAAGCTGCAAAAGAAAGACTGCATATAGCACCTATCCAAAAAAAAAAAAGTCTCTGAATATAATCTAATTTTACTGTTGCAGTTATTGTTTAGTAGCTATGACCTCTGACTAAATTTCTGCAGATATGCAAAAATACATACTAACAGTATTCCTAGCTCAAGTCAACAGTTCATACAAGATGTAAGATGCTGATAATCCTGGTTTTTCTATAAATTATGGACTACTATATAGAATGATGTTAAATACTGCCTTATGTATGTATGTATGTCATAAACCAATTTGCAAAGACAATTTCAGTCAGAGCATTTTCTTGCTAGTCACCAAAGCTCCAAGGAAAGTTTATAGTCATTTAAAAGGTCAAAGGCATTATTCAATCTTTGAGAAAAAGAAAAAGACAAATCACTACTTAGTTTCTCATTTAAAATTTTTTTCTTGGAAAGAAACGAGTGTAGTCTATTAGCAACAAAGTCAGTCACTTAGTCACTGAATACAGATATTCAAACAAAAATGATTTAACAGAAAAGTACATGTTACATTTTCTCTGTCTTCCTCTATAGAGACAGAATTTAAAGGGGAAAGCAGAGAAAAGCTGACTAGTTAGAAGGCCTCAACAGAAGCCTTGGAGAATTTGGAAAACTTGGCAAGAGGCTTAATTGCAAATTATTTTAGAGAAATCTGAGATGAAATTAAATGAAAAAGGAAGTATCCCTTCAGATGTGATTATGGTACGCCTTAGGGATAACAGAATACTAAGAAAGCCTTGAAAGGAGTCATAATTGGACCTAAAAGACAACTTTTTGAGTGAAAAACCTGGCTCAGAAGAAATAAAGCATACTGGTTCAAACAGCAAAAGCAAGTATTTTTTACCTGGCTGGTCTATAATAAAGTTTGTTGTGATGAACTTAATTTTACATGCCAGTAAGGAAAATAAGCACAAGACAAGAACATGCAGCAGCTAAGCTAAAGGATGAAAGAAGAGTAGAAATGCATAACCCCCCCCCACTCACTTGTGATATCATAAACAACAACTGCCACAGTGGAGTCACGAATGTAGCTAGGAATCAAGCTCCTGAACCGCTCTTGACCTGCTGTGTCCCATAATTGCAATCGCACCTAACAATAAAATCAGTCAAACAAGCAAGAAAAATAAGAAAGGTCAACCCATTGCAATATACCTACTTGTTATATCGTAAACTACTACAGCTGCAGCAGAATCACGGATGTAACTGGGAATGAGGCTACGGAAACGTTCCTGACCCGCAGTATCCCACAGCTGCAGCCTGATCTGTGGGATGGGAAAAAATAAATAAAAAAAAAAAAAAAAAGAAAGAAAAAACAAAAACTAATACTAAAAAAAAGAAAGAAAAAGAAAAAAAGAAAGAAAAAAAAAGAAAATGCTTTTGTAAAGGGGGAGGATGAAAGGTAGAGAGAAGACTCATGCAAGAGGCCACAGGGAAGGAATGAAAATAACACAAAATTCCTTTTTCAAAAGGGAGTAATATTTAAAATGTCTTGCTCTGAAAATACATGACTAAAAAATATCACTGTGAAAGATTTCACAGAATCAGAAATATGGCTTCCCTTTTTCCCCTTCCCTATAACCTCTTTGAATCCCTACACTTTTCAGATGATAAAAAGTAGACTGTTGATATTCGATATGAACATGAATAGAGAAAAAGAGGGTAAATCTCAAATAAGCAGCTCAGGCTATGCAGTTAAAGGTATCAATGTTTCTTTGAAAGACTCTCTGAAGCTAAAATGTCTCTTACTTATTGAGTCTAGATTTTGAAATTGGGTCTTTCCTACTATGCTTATTTTTCTTTCATACATTTCTCCCCAAATCAATGTAGATGATCAAAAAAGGAGAAATATCTTTTTGCAACCCAACACAAAATTTACTTACTTTCTTACATCTAGATTACAGAAAGTTAAGCTAAAAACAAGCATCAAGTTCTCTTACCATTATAAAGCAGTCTCAAGGCTTTCAAGTTAAGAAATGGTATGTTATATATGAAAACATAAAAAACAACATCCAAAAGAAAAAGACACACTTATAGCAAATAACATTGGAGATAAAATAATGTCTTTTGAGTAAAGGTCCTGCAACATTGCACTTAAGTTATTCAATGTTTAGGTATTCTTCAAGGAGTAGTAGGCTAGAATACAAACTTTACACTATATTTAATGGGTACAATAGAAAGGATAAGAAGATAAAAATTTAACAAATACACACTTTCTTTCCCTTTAGTCATTTTGGCATATATATTATTCTGACAAAATCTTCACAAATCATTTGATATTCAAAGGATATTTCTACGAATGCCTCAAGAGTGGCATTCTAAAGGTATTTATCAGCTCTAATTTGTTCATGAAAATTCTCTTAATTCACTCTTGAAGCTATCAGTTGTTGTTTTTCCAAATCAAAATGACCAATTTTGTTAAGGAGGCTAGGGAAAACTAGGTTTTATAAAAAATTTTATCTCTCCCTTTGGATCTCACTTGGACTTAAGTCAAAGGGCTAAGAACAACTAATTCTCTAAGTAACAATTTTTCTAAATGCCTATAAGATAACTAGGAACTTTGCTATGTATTTCTACAGGTGACTATCATTGATTATAGTTTTGATCAGTTTTCAAAGGTGGACTCTTGTGGGAAACTGCAGTTAAAAGATTACTCACTGTTCGATCCTCCAAATACATTGTTTTTGACAAAAAGTCAATGCCAATTGTTGCCTGTAAGACAAAACAAAACAAAGTTAACACATAACAGCTGTTTAGGATGCAAATGGGATTTATGACTGCAGAAAAAATAATGAATAAACACTTAAGCACATAATAGCTGACTATGAACAAACAAAATTTTCTGTGATACTGGCTTCCACATAATAAGTACTTGCCATGTTAGAGATTGTTTTAGGTCCTTTACACGATCATCTCTAATTCTCATACATTCCTACAAAGTAGCTTATTGTCATGTTTATTTTTATTTTACTGGTAACATGACAATGAGAATTTGTTTGCACAATTGTACTTAAATATTCCAATATTTTTATTTGAACTTTAGTATGATTATCTGAGTATTCCTCAAATAGCACTACTTCTCTCAACATCAGTTTTATAAAACATTGCTGATGTAAATTACAATCCTGACTAATCTTTCTACAAACCGCTTCTCAATCGTCCTGATGTCACCATAGCCAGAGACCTACAAACATGATTTTCTAAAAGGGACACAATTTTTCCAATATAAAAGAAAGTTAAGGGCCTGGGATTTAGCTCACTAGTTCTGCTGCCTGCCTCACAAGTACAAAGACCAGAGTTCGATCCCCAGTACCAACAAAAAGAAAAGAAAATTTAGTAAGGAAAACAAATTTTCCTTTATAGCACACAATGACAGTTTCCTTCTGTGATTCAAATATATGTAAAATTTTGTTTCTTTTTTTTTGTGTGTGTGTGTTTTGGTTTTTTGAGACAGGGTCTCACTATGTAGTTGACACTGACCTGGAACTCACTATACAGCCCAGGCTGGTCTTGAACTCACAGCGATCCTCCTACGTCAGCCTCCCGAGTGCTGGGATTACAGGCGTGAACCGCCACTCAATCTCAACTCAACTACATAGTGAGTCCCTGTCTCAAAAAAACCAAAAAATAAATAAAGGAAGGAAGAAAGGTAAAAAGGAAGGGAGGGAACAAAAAAAAACTCAGTAAGAGGGCACTGCTACAAATTCTACTTCAGAAAGTTAATCATCCCATTAACAAATGTGTTTAAACTGGGAGTGCTGGTGCACACCTGTGATCCCAGCACTTGGGAGGCTGAGCAGGAGGATCACTGTGAGTTTGCCACCAGCCTGTGTGGGCTACATAGTGAGTTCCAGGTTAGTCTCAACTACAGAGTGAGACCCTGTCTCAAAAAAACAAAAAACAAACAAAACCAAATCTGTTTATATATTGGTATATAAGTGTATTCATATATTCCTTCCCTTTAAAAACATTTCTGGGCTACACTGCTTTGGATAAAAACAAGGTAGACTCTAAATTTTTTAAATAAGTTATTTAAAAATCTAAAAATATGTAAAAACAAGAAATCAAACACTGGATCAGAGAAGTGGTTCGTTCACAGGCTATTGTGGTAAAGCATTTGTCTAGCATCCAAGAAGCAGTGGGTTTGATCCATGTAACCACAAAGAAATTTTAAAAAAAGAAATGAAGGAAGGAGAAAGAAAAGTAGTTTGTTCAGTTGGGGATTTTATTTCTGTTGTCAGAAAGCTAGAATTTTGCGATGGATGTGTTCGATTACTACTATCTTTTTGGACATTATGTGCCTAAAAGCCACTGTTTTTTATCTATGCCATCTTGAACTTATGTTTATTGTCAATTTATAACCTCCTTTGGGAATAAGAAATCCTCTAAATCCAAGGTAATCACAAAAGTTACTCTTAGCAACACAGTCTTCCTCAGGTAAAAAAATGAATTTACTCCAACCGTAGGCAACTTTCTTTAGCCTGTATTTAGTTGAATACAAAATATGTTTTAAACTTATAAACATGAAACTGTTAGAAAAGCTGAAGGTTTGTAATTGGAAAGAGTACTAGGAGAATCTTTTCAATTACAAAATGCTGATTTTATGTCATACCTGCTAATTTACTAAATAGAATCCTTCCACACAAAATTTACCAAGCAGAGCCAGGTGTGGCGGCGCACACCTGTAATCCCAAAACTCAAGAGGCTAAGGCAGGAGGACTGCTGTGAGTTTGAGACCAGCCTGGGCTACATAATGAGTTCCAGGGTCAGTCTCAACTACATAGTGAGACCCTGTCTCAAAAAACAAAAAACAAAAAAACAAAACAAAACAAAAAAATTTTACCAAGCAGAGCTATTTGCTTATACTTAAGTATAAGTTACATATGCAAAGACAGGATAGATACTTTTTTCCTTTTAATTCCCAATTTCAAAGTAAGGAGCTAATGCATTAGCTATCATCAAATGGTGAAAATGATATTGTTGTTTGTGACTCTTTTTTTTGAGATGGAAATCCTGCTATGTAGCCCAGGCTAGTTTGAACTTGCAGCAATCCTCCTACTTGAGCCAACTGAGGGTTTAAATTACAGATGCGTGCCACCACATTTAGGCTTAATTATTTTAAATTAGTGTATTATGTACATGTTTTATCAATTCCTCAAGATGAATATTATTATTTATTGCAACACATACCAATAAATTTAAAATATACAGTGTGCCAAAAAATGTATATACACCTCAGGAAAAGAAAAATAGTATGATGTTTTTACAACAGATGGTGTTATCCTCATATGGGGGACCAAGAAGATGTCACATACCACAGAATACCCACTACACTGCTGGCCCTTAAGAGACTAAATTGAAAATGTACATGAAATTTTAATGAGCAATGTTACCCAAGCAGCAGTGTGCCATACTAATAAATGTCTCGAAGTAATGGTTACTACCCTGAGCACTTCTTATAAGTGTAGAGGCCAAAGGTAATTGCTACTAATCTCATCATGTCTCAATAAACTTAGTATTAAAATATTTGCCAGGCATGGTGGCACATGCCTATAATCTCAGCTCTTGGAAGGCTGATGCAGGAGGATGGCCTTGAGTTCAAAGCTAGCCTTGGCTACATAGTGAGTTCAGCCTGAACTGCATAGAGAGACCCCATCTGCACCCCCCAAAATCAATTAAAGATTTTCTTCCCTGAAGTGTATATATACATTTTTTCGGTGGTTTCTCCCCCCCATATATATTTTTTCTAATTGTTTTGTTTTGTGTTTTCTGTGACAGAGTCTTGCTATGTAGTTCATGCTTGCCTTGAACTCACTATGTAGCCCAAGCTGGCTTTAAACTTGCAGTGATCCTCTGGCCTCTGCCTCATGAATGCTGGGATTACAGACATGTGCTACCATGCCCAGTGAAAAAAATACAAATTTTTTAAAATAACAAAAAAGAATTCATGGATTGTTTTCATTTTCATAATGGAGCCTTTTGAAGTAGAAAAGTTTTAATTTTGATAAAGTTTACTTTAACACTTTTTTTAAGGGATGATGCTTTTGATGTTATGTGAAAGAATATTTTACTAACTCAAGATCATGGAGATGTTTCCTTAAAATTTTTCTTATAAAAATTCAGTTTTAGTTCTGACATTTAGGATTATAACCCATTTTGAGTTTATTTCAACATGTAGCATAAGTAATGAATGTAACTATACTGTATACCTAAAATGTATCAATAAACTCAATGAGAGGGAAAAAAAAACCATGTAGCATAAGGTAGAGGTCTAAATTAAATACAGACATTCTTAACAATCAACTTACAGTCCTGCAACCAGGTTGTTAAATGATCTGGGTGCTAAATGAGGAATTATATATAACATGTACTTTACAATGCTCAGAACAAAGAAATGGTCAAAATCCTAGCACTCAGGAGGCTGAGGCAGGAGGATCACTGCAAGTTTGAGGCCAGCCTGAGCTACCTAGTGATTTCAAGGCCAACAAACTACACAGCAAGACCTTGTCTCACAAAAAAAATTTAAAAAAAGTGGGGGGGATTTAGCTTAGTGGCACTGTGTCTGCCTAGCAAGAGCAAGGTCCTGAGTTCAATCTCCAGTACCACACACACACACACACACACACACACACACACACAGGAATGGTTAAAGGAAACTCCAACTTGATGACTTTGCTTTTATTTGCATAACTCTTATATGTACTACTATAATGTATAACAAAACAAAAACTACACTACAGTAATATCAGCAAAAATTATAGTACTATACAGACAAGGTATGGTACACACACAAAAAAAGACATTGAGGCTCTATAAACAAGGTGAAAAAGACAGGTTGTAAGTTCAAGCAGTGGGTCACAAATCTTTTTTGTTTTGTTTTGTTTTTTTGAGACAGGGTCTCACTATGTAGACTGACCTAGAACTCACTATGTAGCCCAGGCTGGTCTCCAACTCACAGTGATCCTCCTGCCTCAGCCTCCCATGTGCTGGGATTATAGGCGTGTGCCACAAAACCCGGCTAGTGGGTCATAAATCTTAACAGTATGCCTTGGTCGGACATCTGAATAGTCATCAAACAGGTGGGTTGTTAAATAAGGAATATAGTATCTATATTTTTACATGTGGATATCCAATTGTTCTAGCATCATCAGTGGAAATACCACCTCTTTACTGATTGCAGTGCACTGATATTTCAGTTATACTCAATTGCCCACAAATGCACAGTTTTAGCCAGAGTGGTGGATGTTGTAATGACAGCACTCTGGGAGGATGAGGCAGGAAAACAGAGTCCTGTCTAGGCAACTTAGTGAAATCTTTTCTCAAAACATAAAATAAAAATGGGCTGGGGATTTAGCTCAGCGGTTTGGTGGCCTTGCCTTGCAAGCGCAAAGACCCAAGTTCAATCCCTGGTATCAATCAATCAATCAATCAATCAATAAACAAACAAACAAACAAACAAACAAACAAATAAATAAATAGGACTGGGAATATGTGAAGGGCCTAGGTTCAATACTCAGTACTGAAAAAATTTTTTTGATTAAAAAAAAAGTGGTTTTCTTTTCTAGATTCTCAACTCTATTTCAATTTATCCCTGTGCTTTTACCACAATGTTTTGAAAGTTGATGCTTTATAGTAAAATTTCAAATCAGCGCTCTAATTTTACTCTCTCTTTTTTTTATGTTGTTGTTTGTTTCGTTTTTGGTACGGGAATA